AAGGCCGATGGGCCTGTATGATGGCCCCCGACATCAAATAAAGATGTCGGAGGGATGAAGGTCGAGGGCCGTTGTGATGTGGAATCATGATGAGGCCGAGGGCCGTTGGTGATGTGCGATCACGCTAAGGCCAAAACCATTATGACATAGGGTCATGTTGAGGCCGAGGGTCATCTGATGTTGAGGCTGAGGGCCATTGTGATGTCCTCACGCTGAGGCCGAGGGCCGTTGTTGATGTTGAGGCCGAGGGCCGTCTGATGTTGAGGCCGAAGGCCATTGTGATGTGGAATCACGCTGAGGCCGAGGGCCGTTGGTGATGTTGAGGCCGAGAGCCGTTCTGATGTTGAGGCCGAGGGCCGTTGTGATGTGGAATCACGCTGAGGCCGAGGGCCGTTGGTGAGGTGAGATCACGTTAAGGCCAAAACCGTTATGACATAGAGTCATGTTGAGGCCGAGGGCTGTCTGATGTTGAGGCCGAGGGCCATTGTGATGTCCTCACGCTGAGGCCGAGGGCCGTTGTTGATGTTGAGGCCGAGGGTCGTCCTTATGTTGAGGCCGAGGGCCGTTGTTGATTTTGAGACTGATGGCCGTTCTGATGTTGAGGCCGAGGGCCGTTGTGATGTGGAATCGCGCTGAGGCCGAGGGCCATTGTTGATGTTGAATCACGTTGAGGCCGAGGGCTTTTGGTGATGTGAGATCACGCTAAGGCCAAAACCGTTATGCCAAGGTCGAGGGCCATTGGTGATGTTGAGGCCGAGGGCCGTTGTGATGTTGAGGCCGAGGGCCGTTGTGATGTGGAATCACGCTGAAGCCGAGGGCCGTTGGTGATGTGAGATCACGCTAAGGGCAAAACCGTTATGCCAAGGCCGAGGGCCATTGGTGATGTTGAGGCCGAGGGCCGTTCTGATGTTGAGGCCGAGGGCCGTTGTGATGTGGAATCACGCTGAAGCCGAGGGCCGTTGGTGATGTGAGATCACGCTAAGGCCAAAACCGTTATGACATAGTGTCATGTTTAGGCCGAGGGTCGTCTGATGTTGAGGCCGAGGGCCATTGTTGATTTTGAGACCGAGGGTTGTTCTGACGTTGAATCATGCCAAGGCCGAGGGCCATTGGTGATGTAGAATCGAATTGAGGCCGAGGGCCTTTCCTTGATAGTTCCGGGAGTCCTTCGGGTGTATGTTCTTTCTTTCAGGCATCGACCGAGGGGGTTGATTCCCCGCCTCGGCCGAAAGGGGGTCCAAGTGATCCGTCCGGGGGTTCGTCTGTTAGTCCCCCGGCGCTGGGCCGTCCCTTGATTGTGCCAGGAGGTCGTATGTTAGTCCTCCCGATGTGTGTTCCTTCTTCCAGGCTTTGGCCGAGGGGGTTGCTTCCCCGCCTCGACCGGAAGGGGGTCCAAGTGATCCGTCCGGGGGTTCGTCTGTTAGTCCCCCGGCGCTGAACCGTCCCTTGACCTTGGGGGGTCCCATCGTCTATTTACGGCGCGGGCTAGGCTTGGTCGGTTTGTGACGACTGCCGTTTCACCCCCAAGTTTGGGGATTTCGTCACCTCAGCCATTCTTTCAGGCCTGTCGCCGTGCGTTGCGCACCGGCGACGCGGCGAGCGTCCCGCTCCAAAAACGCGGGCCTTTTGCAGGCCCCTCGTCTTTAGACACCATCGGCCATACCTGGGCATTTGGCCTCGAAGGGCCGATAAGATGTCTGGATTGTGTTGTAGTTTACTTAAATTCATAGAAACAAGCGGAATACAAGGGGTGCGTTGTTTGACAACGGCTTTGTTAAGATACACGGCTCGAGGCCGAGGGGATGATAATGTGCCTCGAGGTCGAGGGCCCAAGGCTGTGACCGACGGCGAAGGCGAGGAACACGATTATCGGAGGTGGCGCTTCTTCAACTGGGGCTCCTCGAACTCCTCGTCGTCGCTGAACCTCCCGATTTCATGTTTCTTCGTTGCGATGTCCCCTTCTTTTTTATCAGTGTTCTCCCCGGCATTTTTCCCTGGGGAATTTTTGATGAATTGGTGGAGCTCACCCCGTTGAATTAAGAGTTCAATAGCCTTCTTTAACGAGACACAATCGTCTGTATTGTGGGAGGTGCTTTTGTGGTAACGGCAATATGTGCCGCCTTGGTGGATGACGTAGATCTCCCTCGCCGACCGAGGGTCCCTGGGGAAAAGGTCGTGCTCTTCCGCATAGTTGAGGATAGTGCTCACCGGATGCGTGAGGGGAGTCCTCGGCATGTCCAACCGAGGGCGCCATTGGCGTTCGTTACGGCCTTGCTGGGTGTGACTTCCATGGTCTCGGCCTCCGGTCGAGGGCGTATTTGGGGCCGGCGTGTTGTTTGTCTTCTTCGAGGGCTGGCCCTCATTCTTCTTGAAGGAGTGGAGGTCGTCGGCGTCGGCGTATAGGCTCCCCCGCTGGAGTGCTCTGAGGTATGATCTTGGGGGGTCGGTGATGAGGCTCCGTGCGTAGGGGCTGCTGCGGAGAACCCCCTGGAAGAGGACGAGGAGGGTACGCTCGTCGGCGCCCTCGACCTCGTCTGTCTCCTTCATCCACCGGTCAATGAAGGACCGAAGTGCTTCGTCAGGCTGTTGCTTGACGGAGAGGAGGTGGGAGAAGTGCTTTCTCACGCGCTTCCTTCCGACAAAATGGATGAGGAAGCGTTGGGCAAGATCTTGCCAAGAGTCAATGCTGCCCTCGGGCAATCGGTTGAACCATTCGTATGCTGGTCCCTCCAAGGTGGAAAGGAACCAATGACATAAGTATTCATCTGATGCCCCCATCATCATCATGTTGTTTTGATACCTGTTGTAATGCTCCTGGGGGTCAGTTTTTCCTTCACAAGGCTTGATGAGTTGCCCTCGGTACTTTTCCGGAATTTGGGCCGCCAATACCCTTGGGGTAAATGGCGTCCTAGTTCGGAGTTGGATGACGGGTTCCCCGGAGCCTTCGGCAAATTTCCTTTGCATCTCCTCCATTTTGGCCAACATTGCCTCATACTTGAGGTCTGTATGAGGGGCAAAAGTGGTGGCGTGTGCTTTGGTGGCCCCCATCTCGCCGAGCCGGCGCTGGAGGGCCGCAATGATTTCGTCCCGGGGGTCCTTCGGGAGGGCCTCCGCCCCCTGCAAATGGACGCGGGCCGAGTGGGCCTGATTGATTTGATGGCGGGCGTCGTTGACATGGAGAGGTGCCTTGCCTTTGTCCTGAGGGGGACGCCTTTCATTGGCCCTGGAGACGGATCCGCCACTTTCCTGAGGCCTCTGGAACGCCTTCCCCCCGAGGCGGTCTTGGACCCCTCGGCGATCTTGCGCCCCTCCGAGTCTCTCGAGGGCGGAGATCCGGAGTTGTTCTTTGTTTACGTTGTGGCGGTCCCGGGATTGGACTTCCTGGGAGGCCGTATCTTGGGCCACGACCCCCTCGGAGTTTCCAATCCGGAGGACCGGGTTCCCGAGGGGGTGTGGATGAGGGGGAGGCATAATATTCTCCCCGACCTCAGGTTGGAGGGGAACCAAAGTGCCGAAGGCACCCGGGTTCTGGGTGAGCGTCTGGATGAAGGCGGAGAGCGCCGATTGTACGTCGATTGTGATGACCGGAGGGCTAATTCGATTCTCGCTCCGGTCCTTCTTCTTGGCCTCAATGCCGAGGTGGGCATCGGGGGCATTCTGTTGAATTTGATGGCGTAGGTCGACAGCCGTCTGGTTCAACCCGGCGATGACGCCGCCCCCGGGAGCCCTGTTGGAGGCTTCGGGGACGTCGACCTCACCGAGGGCCAGGTTCCTGTCCTCTACATTTTTGGAGTTGGCACGAGTTGTTCTCACCATTTTAGCTAGGTGTTTTGTGTTTGGTCGAGGGGGGGGGGGGGGGGGGGGTTTCTTACTTGATTGTTCGAGGGCTCTTACCTGCCGAGGGCTGCAGGTGCCGAAGGCTTGGTTTTCAAGCCTTGTTCTCCTGTGATGCCTCTTCTAACCGAGGGCTCCTACCTGCCGAGGGCTGCAGGTGCCGAAGGCTTGGTTTTCAAGCCTTGTTCTCTTGTGATGCCTCTTCTAACCGAGGGCTTCTACCTGCCGAGGGCTGCAGTTGCCGAAGGCTTGGTTTTCAAGCCTTGTTCTCCTGTGATGCCTCTTCTAACCGAGGGCTCCTACCTGCCGAGGGCTGCAGTTGCCGAAGGCTTGGTTTTCAAGCCTTGTTCTCCTGTGATGTTTCTGAGCTCAATTCCGTCACTGGTAGCCTTCGACCATGGGGCCGAAGGCACCCCTTTGCGTATTGTGGGCTGCTTAGAGCTCCATTTTTCTGGGCTTGGCCCGTTTAGGCCTGTTGGGCCTGATTGTAGTAGAGGAAGTATGTGGGCCGGGGGTCCCTGGGCCATATACTCCATCACTAACGTTTTTAGAGACGCCTAAAAAAGTTTTTCTAATAATTTACTCGTATGATTCTTATATTATTAAATTTATTCCTAAGTAATGTTTTTAGAAAAAATGTTGAGAAATTTTTTCCTAGTAGTATTTTTTAGGAAAATTGTTTTTATATTTTTCATTAAATAATAAGAAAGTGATCATAATGTATTAATGCTATTATTCTGTATAATTGATCAAAAAGGTTTTTCATTTCTTTTTTTTTTGATCAAAAAGGTTTTTCATTTCGAAAAAACATATTTTTTTTCAACAAAAACAACATATTTTTTTTGAAATATTTAAACCATTATCAATGTTGATTGTTAAAAATCCAATTTTATTTAAACTTCAAACAATTTGATGAAACGAAACCATAATTTTTACTCTCTCCGTCCTTTGTACTTTTGACAACTTTCTGTTTTTGGATGTCCCATTAACTTTGTCACTTTCCATTTTAAGTAAAGAATTTATGGTTTAAATATTCGTTAAAGTCAAACTTGACAAAATTATTAGTGACTTCAAATTGTATAAACCATTGTATGTTCGGTGCTCTTTTGCCTAGGACCTCTGATTCTTTTATGCATTTCAAACCCTCCAAAATCGAGTTGTGCCCATCCGACACTCCTACCACACTGCAACTAACTCGGGCCAAGGATGCTAGCGTGCATAGTGGTGTGCTCTGTACAAAGGTCGGGTTTCCTGGTCTCACATGTCTAAGAGCATAATTTCTCGTATAAAACCTCTGTGCAACCGGAAACCCAAACGCAGTTCACCATCGAACCTCCAAGTCACACCCAGTGAAAGAAAGGTCGCCTATGAGGTTTGCAACATCCTAAGAACTCAAAGTCACTGGGAACGGAATGTTGAGGTCCTCCTTTCGGAAGCCCAAGCGGTTCCATCTGAAATAGCCCACCTTGTGTTCGACAAAATTCGCGATGCGCAATTGGGTTTGAAGTTCTTTGATTGGATCTCTAGGAGACCCTATGGCTGTCCCCTTGATGGGTTCGCGTACTCGTCTCTCTTGAAGCTACTTGCGAAGTTCAGACTTTTCCAGGAAATTGAAGCTCTGCTGCGTGAGTGTACAAAATGCGAGGAGACGTTGCCTACGAGAGAGGCATTTGATGAATTAATCCAAGCTTATTCAATTTCAGGGGTGGTTGAGAAAGCTTTTGAACTCCACTCATTCGTTTTGAAAACCTTCAATTTGCTACCTCACGTAGTCACTTGTAATCATTTGCTTCATGGTCTTGTTAGTAACGGACGGGTTGAAGCTGCTATGGTGGTATACAATGAGATGGTAAAGAGGGACGCTGGAATTGAAAATAGATGTTTGGATAATTATAGCACTTGTATAATTGTGAATGGATTGTGTAAAGACGGTAAGGTTGATGAAGGCCGGAAGCTTATCAGTGACAGGTGGGGAGAGGGGTGTGTGCCAAATATTGTGTTTTACAATGTACTTATTGATGGGTATTGCAAAAGGGGTGATATGAAAAGCGCTTATAATATTTTCCAAAAATTGAACTCCATGGGTTTTTTGCCAACAGTAGAGACTTATGGAGCTCTGATTAATGGATTCAGCAACAATGGAAGTTTTGAGGTAGTTGACGAGCTTATGAGGGATATGGCGGCTAGGGGACTCTCAGCCAACACCCAAGTATATAACATCATTATAGATGCTAAATATCGGCATGGTGGTGACCTGAAACCACTTGATGCCATTAGAAAAATGATTGAAGAGGGATGTGATCCTGATCTGGTGACATATAATACTTTGATCTCTGGTTCATGCAAAGCTGGGGAAATTGAGGAGGCTGAAGAACTTCTAGAGAATGCAAGAAATAGGGGATTGGTGCCTAACAAACGTACGTATACTCCTTTGATCCATCTGTATTGTACACAGGGAGATATTGACAGGGCTTCATGTCTTCTTGTTAAGATGACTGAGAATGGTGATCCACCTGATCTGCCAACATATGGAGCTCTAATCCATGGTTTTGTACGCTCTGGGCATGTTGACGTCGCCTTAACTATTCGTGACAGGATGACCGAGAAGGGATTGTTACCTGATTCATGTATGTATAATGTCTTGATGAATGGGCTTTTCAAAAAAGGGAAGCTTTCTGAAGCCAAACAGCTTTTTTCTGAGATGCTTTCTCACAGTATCGTACCTGACATGTATATTTATGCCACTCTAGTGGATGGGATCATAAGAATTGGAGAGATAAATGAAGCAAAGAAGCTCTTTCAGCACACAATTGAAAATGGTGTGGATCTTGGTGTTGTGGGGCATAATGCAATGATCAAGGGGTACTGTAAGTTTGGGATGATGAGTGAGGCGGTGTCATCTATGAACAGGATGAAAAAGTTGAAGATTTTTCCTGACGGGTATACTTATTCCACTATGATAGATGGATTTGTAAAGAAACAAAACATGGCTGGTGCATTGACAATATTCTGTGAAATGGTGAAACAGAAGTGTTTAGCAAGCGTGGTTGCTTATACCTCTCTCATTAATGGATATTGCCAAATTGGCAGTTCTCAAAGAGCACTATATTTTTTCCATTATATGCAGTCAAATGGTTTAGTTCCTAACGTTGTTACCTATACTACATTGATAGGGGGATTTTGTAAGGAAGGACAACTTGCAAAAGCTGCAGTTTTTTTTGAACAGATGCTTATTTCCAAGTGCTGCCCAAATAATTATACCTTTAATTATCTGGTGAATGGATTTTCAAATAGTGCACATTCTGTAGTTCTGAAGGAAGGAAATAATCATAAAAGATGCAAGACATCCATATTCTTGGATGCTTTTCGAAGGATGATTTCAGATGGATGGCTTCCAAATATTGCTGCATATAACTCAATTATTGTTTGCCTGAGTTTAAACGGGATGTTAAAAACTGCATTGGAGCTGCAGAATAATATGGCCAGTAAGGGCTTGTGTGTTGATTCTGTTTCCTTTGCAGCATTGTTGCATGGGATTTGCTTGGATGGAAAATCAAAGGAATGGAAGAAGATTGTTTCCTGCAACTTTAAGGAATCTGAGCTCTGTACTGCTCTTATTTACTCCAAAATATTTGATCAGTACCATGCTCGTTGCCTGAACTTTGAGGCTTCAGAAATTTTGCACAACATGGTCAGTGATTGTAAGTCACATAATCTTCACATGGATAACATTGAAGTGTCAGCAAAAAGTTGATGGTTTCACTTTAATTTACGGGTTGAATGTGTAAAAACCAAGGTTAGAGACACCACCAGACCTATATGACAAGGCAATTGCATGTGCTTTGTTGGACCTTTTCTTTCGAAGAGCTGAAGCACTAAGAGCTGATAAAAGTGCACGTTGTTATGTTTGCTCACAACCAGGCAACCAGCCACAATTTCTTAGGAATCAGCCTAAAGTCCTGTTATTAAATTGCGGCTCTGCAAGACTTTTGCTATCTCCTTTTCAAGTGCTTATCTCCACTTCAAACACAGAAGAATATGGAGATCCTGAATCCCAACAGTATGAATAAAAAGGCTCCTCAGACCTACCCTATCTCCAGATCAGAAGGGTTTTCTCTAAACTTTGTAATTGAAGAAAACAGCAAAAATTATGGCATGCTGCTTCAGTTTAATTGTGGCTGGTTGCTTCAGACCCCACTCCAGCTCATTCTTTGTGAAGCTGGTTTCACAGCAATATGGAAGACCTAATCTAAGTGCTTGAAATGCCCTATGGTATCATCATATTAGGAGGAACTGAGGTTTGAGTTTTTGTTTCAGTGAAAATACCAGTTCATGTTACCATGGCTTTACTTGTTATGATTTTTTCTTGCGCAGCGCTGCTGCTTTTCCTTCCAAGGATTCCCACTTTCAAAAGATTTCTTTTTTAAAAAACTTGTCATAAAAAAGGAAATACTGCTTCTTGATTTTGCAGTCAGTCAATGCAATTTTGCAGGCGATTTCCACTATGGGTCGTCCAGAAACAGTCTCTCTGTGCTTAAGTATAGGGATAAGACTGCGTACATCTGACCCCCCCTTATCCCACTGTAGGTGGGAGCCTTTGTGGCACTTGGGTAATGATGATGATGATGATGATGATGAAAAAAGGCAGTGCTTGTCTTTGACATAGCAGGTAACATCTATAAATGACAGCTGGCTCAGTTGTGCTTATGTCTCTAGGAAAACTACCTAAAAATGCTGTCAAAATGACGAAGAACAGTCCTTACTCCACAGGGCAAGGTAAAGACTTTGACACTTAACTTTTTGGCACTCTATACTGATTCTCTGTAGGTGTAGTTTGGTACTTGTAATAACATGGCATCAACATCGACTTAATCTCAACTAGTCGGGGCCAGAAGGTGTTGTTGTGCTTACCCAATAGTGCCAATCAAAACAGCATAGTGACAAACTTCATAAAAAGTCCATCCTGTTGCAAACTTCTTTTGCAGGAATAATATGATGGGATTTAAAACCGTCATTAAATTTCCACTTGCATAAAAATTATCATGAGGCTGTGAGATAGTTGTTGTATTGATTGCGTTCTTAGTTTGAAGGGCACAAGGTGACATGAGGCATTTTTGTTAAATTTTGCTAGATCTGTATATCTATGACTAGTAGATTATAGTCATCAGATAATCCGGTCTTAACATTATTATATCCTATATGGCTATATCAATAATATAAAGATTTGAGTTTAATTTGAATACTATATATACTTATAAGAATACATGTATCAGACTAGCAATCCACAATCAAGTCACATGTTTGATTAACTGATTAGCATATTATTCAAGGATTAAACATTAATAAAGAGAACTCATAAGTAGTTAAGTACCATAAAATAAGTTCATACATTTATTTTAATGACTAATGAGTTTAAAATATCCAAGCACAGATCATAAATTGTCTCAAGACATAATTCCAACATTCAGCTGCTAAGTGATCTGGAATATAAATATCGTGTCCTTTTCAGATGCTGTTATGGAGAAAAAGAGATCATTCTGTTATGAGCTTTGACAAACAAATGGTTTGAGTTCAAGACTATTATCAAGTGAGTCATTGTTTAAGGAAAGGATGGTACGGTACGATCTCCCACACATGAAATTGAAAACAAAACATGGATGGTGGAAAATTAGAGGCCGCCATTGAAGGGGGAGAATGGTTTTTTCACTCGAGATTTTGGTGCATCTCAGCCGTTGATCACTGATTATGTGTGTAGACGTTGAGCAGTGGTTGGCTGTTGCCGAAGCTCTTTCAATGGTATGTATAAGACACTTATTGCAAGCTGAATGCTGTAATGTTGAATGCCTATGCGGCTATGCATACTATAAGTGAAATGTTTAATGTATGGGAAGTATAGTTGTAGGGCTGAAACACATCATGGTGGTTTGTTTTTCATAATAGCATGCTTGACTGTCTGTATTATAGAAGTATAGTTTTGGGACTGTATAACAGATCATGGAGTAGGATAGAAGTATATTATGGTTTTTCCCGTCTTTGAGTTCTAACGTTGGTTTTCAATGCCTAACATTAGAACAATATTATTAACTACTAAGAGCAGTAGTGGCATTTGAACTTCTTGTTATCAATTATTGAAGTGATTATTTTGTCTTCTGATTCTTTGAATATCTAATGGGGTCATGCTTATAAAAAATTCATCCTTTTACATTGTGTTTGGAGTTTTATCACTTACGGAGTACATGGTAAGTGATAATTTTAAATTTTTATTTTCATGCTCTATAGCCTATAGCACAAGATTTAAGAAGAAATTAATAGGGGTAAGATAAAAGGTGTGGTGAGTTGTGTTTAAATGAAAAAGTAGGAACGAGAATGAGGGTATATAGGTATATTTATTAAAAAAACTTTCTAAAAATGGAAAGGGAGACATGTATTGGAGAACATCCCAAAATGAAAAGGGAGATATGTAGTGGAGAACGGAGGGAGTATAATGCTCTCTTTATTTTATAATTAAATTTTACTTGACATATAATTACTGCATCATTCAGCCGATGCATTTCAATCAAATTAGTATTGATGGGTTAAGGAATTCATTTTCCTATTTGGAACAATGCTGTTTATATACAACATACAAGGCTTGGGACCTAAATAAAAAATGATTGATAATAATTGAATGACATTTGTTCCATAAATGTTTAGGGAAACATGCGTTTACATCATTCGTGATGTCACACTAATGTAGGATGATATCAATAGTGACGTAAGCCCTTAGGAACTAGGCCATGATGCCAGCATAGGCGGTAGTGATATAACTTTTGGAAGTCCATGTTTGAAACACCTGAGAAACGGCTTAGTGTAGAAAGTGTAGCTGAGTCGAGATGGATCAAGTTGCTCAACTTCTTCTAGAGGTGTCAACACGGAATCCAGGAGTAAAGATGATCATACTCGATCTAAGGTAGAACAAGCTCGCTGATGCGCTATCGTGACTGGAATATGATACTAGGCTCGGCACAAGGCCTCGATCTGTACAACAGTGACTTGGGCTTCCGATCTGGACCGCCTATCTCTGAGCCTCTAAGGTACAAATTACCATCAAGTATTCTTTCAAATATGATGATGACATAATGACATTTTGGACTAATTATTTTTAAGGAAGTTTTATTGACCCCTTCCCTGTTACCCTGCCCCTTGCCCCGCCCCCTATCCACCCCTCCCATGCCCCAACTATGACTAGCCCAACCCAGTCCCAATCCAGACTTCCTCAGCCCCAGCCCACCACCACCCAACCCTAATCAATCTTAGTAAAAAACTTAGTCACCGTAGAGGCCTCAAATTGGAGGCATTGCGTTTTGGAGAAAGTAAAATCCGCGGGCATTTTGGAGTCGTCACCATCGCCTTTACCTTACATTAGACAGAAAATAAAGAAGAAGAATAAAATCCGCGGGCTGCATTTTGGAGGAGGAGATGAGCTAACAGTGGAGGAGTTGACTGGTTGTCCAGTAGCGGAGACATCTACTCCTAGTCGGGTCGTGGATGAGGCTGAAGGAATTGAGGAGTAATGCGATGATGGCTGAAGTAGGAGGTGAGATGATGTATGATACAATGATAGGCTTAACCGGGGCTGAAGCTATAGGGTTATTCTAGTCCACTTATTATTAATATATCACCTTTTAGTCTAATTTTAAACGTGGCCATATATTTGAAAATGGGAACTCATAGGTAATAATATTATAGTCATTCTTTCTACGGAGTATTAATTTAGTGATTGTGATTTGGGAATGGTATTTTGGGCTGAATTTTCATAATTCCACTTTCGTTGTGACTAGGAGTGCTAATAGAGCAAGTCGAGCTCGAGTTCGGCTTAAATCGAGCCGAGCTTGATAAAGAAAGACCGAGTTCGAGTTTTAGTCGAGTCGAAAAGTTTATGGCTTGGTTCGAGCTTGAGTGAACTTCGAGTTATAACCATTGTTCTAAATATCAGCCTAGTCGGCAAAAAAATCAACCTAGTCGGCCGCCTAAGCATTACACGCCCATCTACTGCCTGACTATCGCCTAGCGAGTTTTAGAACAATGATTATAATCGAGTTTTATTTATTCTGAAAAAATGATAGGTAGTATATTTTTTAATAAAAGGTTTGATTTGTTTTACGTTTAAACACGCATGTGCAATCATCACTAATTTTCAAACATAAAAGCATTGTTCGAAAATAAAAAATCTGCTTAGTTGTCTCTTGGATAGTAGGACTCTGTTTTTCGTCGATGATTTATTTAAAATCTAAGATCAACCAAGTCCAATTAGTCTTACTTAATCGAGTCGAGTTATATTCAAATAAGAATTGAGTTCTCGAATATTTTGGGAGTAGGTTTGCTTGATTAGTACTCCATCTGTCCCACTTTATGTGTTGTTCTACTTTAGTTTGACACAATTATTATATGATTGAAATTTGAATATAATAAAGTGAAATGTTGTAATCACATGCTCCGTATTTTTTTCAAAGAAAAATGTAATACTTATTTTGGGTCAATCTATTTATATATAAGAAAAGAGATAGCTCTGTAAAATACATTTTTGCCCTCCAATCATACGTGTAAACGTCAAAGCACAAACTACTACACATGTTATTATCCCTATATATATCATTCGAATAGAAGTAGGGTTTTATGCTATTGCCCTCTCTAATTAATCAGGTACGCCGTCTATTCCCATTCCATCATCTTTCTCTGCATCTAATTAGTATTTGCTGCTGATGTGTTAACCGTTTTTACACGTACTGTTAGTTCACAAAGCATATAAGCTAAAGCAAATAAGGTGTTCGATAAAATGTTTTTATGAGAAAAGCATATTAGATTTTATATTTCAGAATTCTGATTTGATAATGTTTGTCTTCCTGTGTCAGTGTAGTAGCTCTGGACTAGGAGAGACAATGTATTTACAGTGTAATCGTAAAAGTTACATCACAAATTTATGTGATATGGTTCTTTATCAAATTCTAAGACGATGTTGATTCTCCTGGAATAACAAAACTCTAACAATATCATTTGATAATATTGTAAATACTTTTAATAGTCTTAAGTTCTGAAATATGTTGATTTATATGGAACATACATTTGTCTAATTCTTTACTTTCTGTAACATTCCAGGTTCGTTTTACTTTATATGGAGATTTTGGAGGTAAGTGACACTCTTTTAGTAACCAAAAAGGGTAATCTCTATGTCTACCAGGGTTCTTCTTAACCATTCCAATTTATATATCTAAGTTCATGTTTTGGTTTTTATCCCCTTTCATCTTCATGAAATTTTAGGGTTTGAGATTATTATTGCAGATTTGGTTTGTTATGTAGTTTCATATTCCATTTTCGTACTAATTGCTCTTTCAAAACATTGTAAGTCATAGGTCATTTTAAATGTTATTTTTGAAATAATTTCTATTGATGTCTATTTTATAATGTAACAGTTTGAGATTATTATTGCAGATTTGGTTCGTTATGTAGTTTCATATTCCATTTTCGTACTAATTGCTCTTTCAAAACATTGCAAGTCATAGGTCATTTTAAATGTTATTTTTGAAATAATTTCTATTGATGTCTATTTTATAATGTAACAGTTATTTCCTGTCCATAAGTATTTGAGACTTCTAGATTGAGCTCACTGCACTTTTGACCTCCTAAATCCTCATATGAAAATCCAAATGTGATTATTCAAACTGAAACTTTCAGAACATTCTACTTCACAAGGTGTAGTTCTGAACTTCTTAAATCTTTATTTGCAGATTTGGGATGTAAATGGAACTCTTTTAGTCGCTGAAAATTTACTGTACTTTTGCCGAAGCTCTATATCAATGAGTTCATTTGGGTATCCTCATTTAAGAACACTATTCAGGTTAGTTCAAACTGTACTGTTGATTTGGACATTATGTTTGGTTTAGTTGCAGAATGATAAGAAAACAGTCCTCTTCAGTTCTGACTAATTTTTAAAGAGTCCTAAGAATACTTGTGCTTCTTGATTGAAACTATGGATTTTCTGTCCAGTGATAAAGCCTTTCACTTATGAAAAGTTCTTAATTTTTTCACTTACGTTTCTAAATCTACTTCATCCATTCATTTCTGCTAGGACAAAATATTAAATAACTGCATTAAAAACGACTGCTATGTCATATCTTAGGTCTCTGTGTATTCTTATGACAATTCTCACTTATTAACTTTTATGAAAATTCTCACATAAAGTTTGTTAATACTTAATGCGAAGTATATAATCTTTTATGTTAATTTGAAAATAATTTTTGTAGTCCCTCTTCCTATGCTTCGTGGTTTGATCCAGCTAACTGATTTTGATTTTTACATTGCATCTTTTGCTATTACACACTGAAAGACTCGGTTTTCTATATCACTAACATAGAACAACACATATGTCACCTTTGCTCTTTGTCTACTAACAATTTCTTCCACCATAAATCTATCACTAGTAATCTCCGTCTCTTAACATTCCAATCTAAAATTAGTATTTTTTTTTAAATTATCCATACTTATAAGCATACCCCCTTAACTTTGCACCTTTATAATTTTCTTTCTCTAATCCTTTATTAATACCCAAAACGTAGAAAACAGGTAATCTTTCTTTTAACACACACTACATTTGTGTGTACTTAATAAGCTAAAAAATCTTTAGGCGGAAAACTTCCACATTTGGTAACATTTTTCATAAACTATATGAAGTTGAGGATATTATAACTAATTTGGAGGATGTTGTTTACAAAACTCTTTCTTAGGATGACCACAACTCACTTAAAAAGGCCCAGGCTTTTTATATTCTTTATAATTCTTACCTTGAGGCTCACTACAAAGAAAAGGCTAGAAAATTACCATATGACTGTGTTTAAACTGCCAAATCACGCCACTAATATGATTGAGAGAAGCTGCTCCCATTTTTTATGGGACAGAACCCCTGAGAACAAGAAATTGATTTGGACAGCTTGGGATAAGTTTTGTTACCCTATTCAGCAAAATGGCCTTCGTTTCAGAAAACTCACTTTCCTATCGATATATTTAATTTCAATTCTAATCAAATGTTACTACATCTTGCCCGTTTATGAATCTAACGATGGTTGTCAATGGCGCGCAATGGCGCTTGCACGCAAACGGCCTTTGCGCCATAAAATGGGCCATGGCGCTGGGTATACACATGGCGTTGCCATTGTGTCGCCATCGCCATGGCGATGCGTATGCTATTTTAAAAGATCAGCGGACATTTGGTCTGGGATTTTGGGGCTGTTTGGCCTGCTGAACGTTAACTTGATAAAACTCTAAATAAAACTTGATATTTTAGCCCATTATGAACACACAAAGCCAATTATTAACAACCCTAACAAAAGTAAATAAGCACACAAAGCCTGCGGACAGTAGAAGTTAAAGCTGCCAGTCTGCGACAAACATATGAGCGCCAAAAGACACAACCAAACACAACCTGCCAGGCTGCGACAAGCAAATGGGAACTCATTGACTTCTTCCAAAAAATGAAAGAAACAAATGGATGACATTGACATTGCAATGAATGGATTGATGAAGCTGCCGAGCAAAATGAAATGGAAGACTGGGATGTAGTGGAAGAAGTTGTTGGTGTTAATGAAGCAAATCACAACACAAGAGCAACAACATCAAGGGCATCAACACTTCAGCTGCACGACGAAGAGGAGACTGAGGAGACAGAGGAGGCGGAGGAAATGGAGAAAACGGAAGAGGTTGCAGATCCCTCTGATGATGAAATGAATGAGGATGGTGTGCCATTGCTATCAGATTCAGACCAAGACGATGAGTGTGATGATTGATGATGATTATGCCATAATCATCAAACAAAAACAAGCTAACAAGCCTAAATCCTCACATATTTTGCAAGACATGAAACTTTTTTTTGAATAATATGTTTTTTTTGGAAGTACTTTAAACTATTTTAACTTCACATGTTTTGGTTAGAATGTTGTTATTCAACTTTTTTATAATGTTTTGGTGGTTGGGTTGATGAATTATAGTGTCTATCATTCGTTTTGAAGTTTTTTTTTGTCACGTGGCGACGCCATATTTGTGCCATCGCCATCGCCATGTGAAATGGCTTGTGCGCCATGGATTGCGCCATGTGCCATGACAACTATGAATCTAACTAATAATATCAAACATAAAGCACAAAGCAAACATCTTAATTTTTATAAATAAAAAAATATCCAAATGTTCTGCACAAGGCATCACATCTCTCTGCCATTCAATTTTCCTTTTAATCTTTGTGTCCCATTCAGCTGATAAAAATGGTTGTGGTATGTTTGTTACGAGCATATTTTAAACTTTCCTAAACACCTTTTGAATTGATCCTATGTTATTTTTGTTGTGTATAATTAGCTGTTTTCGGTTTTCCCATTATTGAAGCAATTATTTTTCAGTTAGTGTTATAGCTTTGCCCCTTCAACCAAATCACCAAACTTTGTAAGCACAAAGCCTTGGGTATATGAACAACAAGCCTACATTTTTCTGAACAATGAAATTACAAATTCTAACTAATAGCATCAAACATTTACTTTAAAAAATGCATGTACATGCTGAAATCTAGCATCAAACATTCGCTTAAAAGAATCAGTAGGATTTGGTTAATTTTTAAGACGGTTTTGGGCATCTATTTCAGTTAGTATTAGAGTTTTGCTGGGTTGCTATAAATCAGTTTTTTTGAGCTGAAGTAAAAAAAAACAGTAATAGACTATAAAAGTAGGCATAGATCTTTATTTGTGTTGCTTGGAGTAGTTTTAAGCAGTCATTCTCATACTTCATTTGTTTCATTTGCCCTCTTTTTCCCTGATTTCTCGCTAGGTGTAGTTTATAGCAAAAATGGAAGATACCCACTAAAGCATAGATCTTAATTTGTGTTGCTTGGAGTAGTTTATAGCAGCCATTCTCATACCTCTTTTTTGCCCTCTTTATTCTCTTGATTTGTCATATGATATATGAGCCTTTTGAGTTGTGTTCACAATGTTCACATTCTTTGTTATAAATCAAGTTTTTGAGCTAAAGTACAACTGTACAACAACAATAATACACTACTCCCCCCCCGCCCCCCTTACTTTGTCCCGTTTTACCTTTTCCGTCCGTCCCATTAAGTTTGTCCCATACCATATTTGGTAATATTTGAGTGGTTAGATATCATTCTTACTTTATTCACACTTTATAAATTCAATACCAATCACACAATTCCACTTTTTCTTAAAAATCACACCACACCCCTTTGTCCCAAACTTAGGGGGACGGAGGTAGTATTAAAGTATGCATACATTGACCTTAATTTGTGTTGCTTGGAGTAGTTTATAGCAGTCATTCTCTTTTTTTTTTTGTTTAGTTTGCCGTCTCCGTTCCCCTGGTTTTCTGGATAGGAGTAGTTTAAACTTTATAGCGAAAAATGGAAATACCCATTAGAATATATCAATCTATGCACTTTCGAGCATTACACACCAATGTTTTTTCTAAAACACTATCGAAATTGATATAGAACAAAACAACCCAACTTTGCAAGCACAAAGTCTTGGACATATGAACAGACTCACACTTTCAAAAATAAATAAATAAACTCCTAATCATGCTCCATCAACTCTCTAAGCTACCCAGATGGTAAAAGTAGTAGCCAGTCTTATTTTAATATGTTTAATTTTTTTATCAAGCTTAATATATTAACATCAATGTGCTGAGTTATGAATCATGTAGGTAGACTACATTTTACAGATGTAAGGTACTCGGGTTAGATGTCACTTACTATATTAACATTCTTTTATTTTTCTCCGTATCATTCACAGGTAAATGGCCTCTAACACAATCTTGAAACAAACATATTCAATTTTACCAACTTCTTTACTAATTTTTTTAGTTTTTAAATTTTATAAGTTCATATGCATGCACTCAAAATAGATACACAACTCTTTGGTTAGATATTAACATTATTTGTTTGCTTAAGAGCTGCCACATGTAGCCTCCTCAGAAGAGACCATTTTGTTTAGTCCTCCATAATGAATACCGAGTAGGTTAATAATTTGCTGGTTTTAAGATATTATCATTTTAAAGATTTTGTTATTATACACACACACACATTCTGCCTCCTTTCTCTTTTTATTTTGCCAAAAGGCGACATGCTTTGCACACAGAATTTCCTGGCGGCCAATTTCATCGTTATTAGTACTCCCTCCGTCTCACTAGAAGGTTCCTGTCCACTATTCACATGGTCAACTTAAATCATTTTTAATCTATTACTTTATAAATCAAATTTTTATCAAATCTACATTTTTTTTATCAGGCTTTGTAGCGGTTTTAATTTAGTTTCTGAATATGTTGATTTTATTTACTAAAAATAATCAGAGTGTGAACAAGGATTAAGTTGCTTTATCGTCAGTCAAGCATCGTAAACCGCCAACGGGAATCTTCTAGCGGGACGGAGGGAGTACTATTTATTCTGATATAATACCTTGCCACAATGCGGTCTCTTCAAACGACCAAACTCCCATATTAACATGCACTAATCCTTTACTTTATGTACGCATATACTATCGTACATAACTTTGGCCGGAAATGTATGTTCCCTCTTATGAAGATACCATGTTACCTCAAATGTATGCATAGGTATTTTTGTCTTCTTTTCTTCCAGGTTATAATCAAATAACACAATCACAAAACAGTTCAAGCTTATATTACTCACTCCCTCCCATAAAATTCTTCTAATTTTTCTTTTTGGGTCGTCCCCAAAAATTCATCCCACTTACCATTTTTGGACAATTTGTGTGACTCACATTCATTTTACCTTTTACTTACACAACTACAACCATACATTTCCACTTTAGTCTCACCTCCTTAATATGCATGCCAAGTCAATGTGGGAAGAATTTTATGGGACGGAGGGAGTATTTATTATGGACTACATTAACTTTGTGCATATATCATGTTTGATGAAATGAAAAAAGTTTTGCACTTTTAAGTTCTTATTTTCTTAACTATGATTGCTAATAGGAAAGATTTTAAGGAAAGATTGTTGATGGATGGCTCTAGGCACAGCGAGCAGGGGTCCTTTAGTGTGTCTTTCAGCCTGGCAGCATCTGGCTGAGGGTAGAGTGAAGCTCAACGTTGATGCATCTGTTACCAGTTAGCTAGAGTGACCGGTTTTTTGTTGTTGAGTTAATGATTCAAATAGGACTAATAGAAAAGTTAATTGCACAATTAGGACCACATACGAAACACAACTTTCATAGGAGCAATTTCAATACAGTTGGACACAAATACCCCTCTTTTATTTTTTTAAATTATAAAATTGTAAAATAAAAAATTATTGGAACCCTAGCAGAGTAGCAGTAGTACTGCCGCCACAAGAGCCAAACCGCCTTCCGCCACCGCTTGCTGACGCAACCTGCCACCACCCCTCGCTGGTGAAATCTGGCGCCCCCTGTTGCCGCCCTCGCCGTCTACCGTTTGTCATAGCATCCTTGCCGATGCCCAAGCCAAACCACCATCCTCTGAGCACCGCCACGATAGTGACAACTCAAGCAGAATAATTTGCCATTAACTTGACACATTTAGCATCGGGGATTAGATTCACTTCTGCCATGAACCAATGTTTCAGATCTTCCAAAAAAGTTGGCAGATTCAACTTGGCATAGTAACACAAAAGTGCCATAAATTTGGCAAAAAAAACATGAAGTAAATAACCAAATATTCAAACAACTAATATTTTTAATTGAACAAGCATATTAACACAATCATAAATTAGAAAAATGAAGCTATTGACAAAAAATAGAAAACCCAGTTTATACAAAAGCATTTCTTCCATAATATGATTGTAAATGTACACATTTTTGCCATAAACTTTGCCAAATCTGAAGCAATCATCCAAAAAATTATGAAAATCGAATTTTTTTTAAAACTCTGAAATTAAAAACCAGAACATCAAAATAGAAGTTTGAAAAACCAGAACATCGAAATTTGGCAAAACAGAAGTCCAAAATTGGAAAATTCAATTCAAAATCTAGAAAAACAGAGGAAAATCGAAGAAGAAGAGGAAGAGGAAGAGGAAGAGAAAGAGGAAGAAGAAGAAGAAGGAGAAGAAGAACCTAAATGGCAGCGGCGAAATCGGTGGCGTGAGAGCGACTCGATCGATCTGGTGCGCAGGGTGAAGTTGACGGTGGCCAGGCCCGGCTTTAGGGGGAGGTAGCCTAGACATTTGTCTAGGGCCTCCAAATTATATGGGGCCTCCATTTCAAGCAAAAATAGTACTACATACATTTAATTGTTTATTTAATTGAAATAATAATGAAAATTAAAACTAAAGTTGAAAACATATTATTTACAATCAAGCATGCCTGATGATAGATTTGGGTTGGCTATATTACTGATTGTAATGATGTTCTAATAAATTTTGCTCTTCAAAAAATAAGTAGAATAGACAATTAGAATCTCCATATTTTATGGCTTATTTTCATTATTCACATTCAAAAAATTGTTTCTTTTACATCAGTGAGACATATATGATGCATCATGCATGTTGAATTGTATTTCTATTTGTAAGCGCTTATACTTTAAGTGTCAAAAATTTGTGTAAAAGATTATCATAAAATATATTTTTTACCGGCGTACACTAATATTTTTATCTAGCTACAACACTCCTATTCATTTCATGTTATAGTTTATGTATACTGTTTTACTAGAGAAAATATACTGAATTTAAATCTCAAAAATAAATATTGTTTGACTGTCTGGGGCCTCAATATTGTTCTAGACGGCCCTGAGGGTGGCGGCGATGGCCTGGGTGAAGCCGATCGATGATGCGCAAGGAAGAAAGAGAAGACGTGCGCAGGGGAGAAGGGGAAGCGGTTGTGCACATGAGAGATGTGCGTAAAGGGATAAGGAGGTAATAATGGATTGAAATATATGAATGTTTTAAAATAGGAGTAAATCAATCCTATTTGGGGAAAAAAGATACATAGTCCTATTTGAGAATTTGTCTTCTCTTTTAGTCCTATATGGAACAATTATTATTTTCTGTTTAAATGTCGAATTTGGGTTCTCAACCCTGCACCTTATATTATTGATGTATTGAAGTAATTGAACCATGATTTGATTAATGTTAATTAATACTATCCTCCGTTCCATTTTAATCTCGACATGTTGAATTTTACACTATTCACATGCTCTATTTTTTGACTACATTTTATGCTATTTTTTTATGAAAATTATTTTTTTTTAAAAAAATATTGTTCAATTCATCTCATTACAAATTTTCAAAATCTGATTTTTAATATTTTTTTACTAATAAAATTAAGATATAATTACGATCAAAGACGTGCGTTGACACATGTGAAATGTTAACCGTTGCAACTAAAAAAGAACGGAGAGAGTATGTTATTTTACAAAAAAAGATAAAATATCAATTCTCCATTTTTTTCCTTTTAAACCATTATTAATCCATTGTTGTGGTTTCAAGACTTAGCTCAGCTGAGAGGATTTAAAAGAAAAACCTGGAAGTTTTCTTCTCTTGCACTTGATATGTTCTGAATTCATAGCCGGTGAAGAAAATAATCAAAGAAAAATAAGCGTATTTTCTCTTCATACTACCTGACATGACATTTTGCTCAATCTAATAGCTCTTAATCAAAGAAAACAAGTAAATGACTAAGTTCTAATATAGAACAATCTTAATTAAACACCTAGATAAATTGTTAGATTACTTGGCCCAAATAATAACAATATTAGTCATTGTCAATAGAATTTAGTCACCATAATTGACAACAGATTTTTTTTTTCAAAAAAGAGTTTGAGCTGTAATAGAGTGCAAAGATCGTGTACATTGTGAATTTTAAACTTTTATTTTTCTCTATTCAACTCTTGGAGTTATAACAAGGATTAAATAATGCAAACACTTCAATTGTGTTTGGCTGTTTTCTAAAAATTATACTTGTATAAGGCGGCCAGACCTAGCATAGTCTAGGGTTAGTTTGGCGGGCGGCACAATGACTTTTTCACGGCGATCCTTGTCCCGAAGGTTACTTTCGTGGGGCAAGCTTGTGTGGAAGTGTAGGGCGGTGAATTCTCTGAGGTCTGGTGATACGGAGAAGACTTTTGGTGAGCATCTCCGTAGCTTAATTGCGATCTTCCAGTATTGCACTTCCGCAGTAGAGGTGCGTTTATGGAATATCACTGCAGAGCTTTGACCGAGGGTTTGGCAATTCCGCTTGCGGCCAGAGTGGTGCTCGACTAAGAAGCCTTTCGCGCAATACCTTCAGGCGTTGTTGTTGAGGGCTTCGAGATAGCGTAGGTCTCCCAAGCTAATGGCAACGCTACGGAAATTACCATCCGTGCTTTGGAATTCCACAACGGAGGGTTGGGGGTAGGCAGAGGAGGTCTGGCTGGGTCGAGAAAGGTAGACGGCGGGGGAAGACTTCTGCGTAGTGATTTAGCCCGACAGATTTTTTTGAGAGTAGTGTCGATGGCTTTCATTGATTTCGCAGGTGGCCGTGGATCTGCGGCGGCTAGGGTTGTGAGACCCGAGCTTCTGATGATTGGCTTGGCTATTTTGGCCCTGATGATGATTGATATGGAAGTTGCACCAACTGTGTTTGATCCGGGTGGAACGTTGACGGTATGAGTCCCAATTAAAGTGGGTGAATTTGGACTCCATCGGCCGTTGGGGGGTCAGCGCGGTTGTTATGGCCACCTCAAGTGGTTGAGGAAGAAGATGGTGTGTGGATGATTCGTCCCCCTCTTGAACCACCGCCACAGGGGAATTACGCAACCAGGGCTTGGAAGACGGCAAGACATCTGATATTTATTTATTTTTGCTATGTTCTGCTTGCTAATCTTTATTTTGTTTTTATCAGGTCAAATACTAAGGGTGGTAGTTTCTTAGTTTTGTTTACCTTAGTTATTAGATTTCTGTTGAGAGGCAATCAGGTTGGTTCAACCGCTAATAGCCTCAAAGCTCTCACTTTTTCAGCAATTAGTCTCGCTCTTTTTGGGGTGGACTACTCTATATGTCTGATAAAGAAGTGAGGGGGCCGGTGGGCTTCTAGTTATGTTTGTTTAGAGGAAGGGTAGTGTCTTGTGGTTATGTTTATTGTTTGCAATTTCTACGGGGAGTTTTTGCCACTTTTGGTCCCCCGAGTATTGTGTCAGTGACACTTTTGGTACACGACTTTTAATTTTTCCATTTTTAGTCCTCGACTATTGTTCGTGAGACACTTTTAGTCCTCTACTTTCAAGTTTCCCACATTTAGTCCTTTGAGTATTATCAAATTGACACTTTCAGTCCTTCTACTATGATTTTGACACAATAAGTGGAGGACTAAAAATGTCTCTATTGCAATAGTTGAAGGACCAAAAGTGTCACTTCTACAAAAGTCGAAGGACTAAATATGAAAATTTTCAAAGACGGATACCAAAAGTGTCCACTACAAAAAAATTCGCTTGTAGTCACGGATTTGGTCCGTGACTAGTTAGTCACGGTTCTAATCACGGTTTAGACACGGAACGTATATAAAAAAATTAGTCACGGATTTGACCGTGACTAGTCCGTGACTAAAGTGTTCCGGCCAACCCATTTTCGTCTCCGGCGGGATTTTTTTTAAATTTGAAATTAGTCACGGATGGTTCCGTGACAAGTGCAAAATTGATTTTTTCAACGTTCCAAATTTAAAGTGCACCGACAATTCGTACAAAAAAGTGTAGTCACGGACACATCCGTGACTAAGTCCGTGACTACAAGTTTTATATATGCAGCCTCCGCTTCATTCAACAAAATCACACCATCTACTCCAGATAGAATTCCAGATAGAATTGAAGGATATAATCTACTCATCTCATATCATTTTCCCTGTTTATGCAGATAAGGTATGTAATTTGAATTACGTATTTTTTGTAAATTAGTTAACTGTGTAAATTAGTTAAATACGTACATATGTAAGTATATTATTAAATAATATAATATTGGCAATACATATGTTATTAATTTTAAAATATAGGGTTAAAATTACGTAAATTAGTTAAATACATATGTAAGTATATATGATTAAATATAATTAAAATGCATATTATTAATATTAGTTAAATGTAAGTATTATTTAATTCAAATGAATTTATATATATATATGATTAAATATGAGTATATGATTTCTTTATATTGGCAATTATTGTTAATTAAGGCGGCCTAATTTAGGATTAATAAAGATTTAAATTAGGGTTAGTTAATTTAATTTAAATGTGTTTATTATATATATATATATATATATATATATATA